TTTCAGTTTGTCATTTTTAAATTATTAAAACATTTTGGTTACTGAAACTTTCATTTGATTTGATATTTTTCTTAAATAATATGTATATTAGGTACAAAATATCATTAAATTAAATCTGGTTAAATTCAGTTGAACCCAATCGAACCATGTTGACCCATAATTTCGGTTTGGTTATATGTTTGCTTTTAAAAACATTGGTTATTTGTTTTGTTATGCTATAGTAGTAGATCGAGAGTGGTGAATATTCGATACCGCGATTCCGGGTTCTTAGTTATGTAAGATTTTTTTTCTTTTGATCAATAAAATGCTGTAAATAAAAGGCACTTGTAAGTTTTAATAAAGTCTTGATTCTTTCTTCTTCGGGATTTTGTTTAAAATTAAATTTAATAAAACAAAATTGTCAAATATAAATGCGTAAATTAAGTATAGTTTTTTTATATTACAGTTGTATTTATAAAAAAATTACAGATGTATTCTACTCCTTCCGTTTCAGTTTACATGTTGTTATAGAGAAATTTTTTTGTTTCAAAATAAATATATTTTTATAGTTTCGATAAAAAATTTATTAACTTTATATACTTTTCTATTTTTTATTGCTTAAAATGTATTTAGGTATAGAGATAATTGTGTTTTTATTTTGAAAATATAAAAAATTAAATATTTTTAATCTGTGTGCAAAAATTTAAAATAATAATTAAAATGAAACGGATAGAGTATAAAATATGAAGAAGCCTATAGTGGATTATTCATGCTACAAATAAAGTCAAAATTTATCATCTTGAACAAAAATATTCAGTTTCTCATCATTTTGTATAGGACACAGTTGGAGTCTCGCAAAGTGCAACTGGATTTACTAATTAGTAAATAAATGTGATGAAATAACTTATTCCTATAGATTTCAGAAAATGCTATATATAAGAATAAAAAAAAACAAATCTCATTCCAATAATCTTTGTGGAATATAAACAAATGAAACATAGTCATGACTCATAACACATTTATAATTAAAGAAAATCGTGAATGAAATGAGATGGATTTTTATTATTTCTATTATTACATTTATAATTAAAGAAAATCGTGAATGAAATGAGATGGATTTTTATTGTTTCTATAATTTCTATTATTCAGTTATTTACATTCCATTTTTAAGTTCTTTTCCTTCATAACATTCCTAAATTTGACTAGCAGGCTTCATGTTGTATTAATTTTTTTTCTGGCAATAATCATATAACATACGCAATTCATCACAAATTATTTGTTATCAGGAGTTTTGGAATAAAAAATGCTGGCTTGTTGTGAAGTACTAAATACTTAGATAACCCGGAAAGAAAAGTGGCATGCAAGAGCTTGCTATAGTTGTACAGTACAAATGTACTATGCATTTTGCTCTCACTAGCTACAACATTGTCAAAAGATGATGAGATCTAGGTTTTGTTAAAGGATGGTCAAGAAACTCTTATTGACTAATATATGACTTCAACTCAAAAGCAAAATGTCTCTTCAGGAAGAAGCCAAATTATGGGAGAAGAAAAAAGCTGTACAAGAAGATAACCTCATTTAAGTTTTTTCCCTCTCTATCCTTTCATGCAAAAATAAAATCCCTTTATCCATTTGGATTCACATATATTCTATGAAAATTATTGACTTTATTGAATTCGGTTATATTCTTATTATTCGTTTTTGAATATGTAGGTGTATAATATCTTTGAGTTTTGACCAGTAATATTAATTAGTTGGATCTTTATCATTGCCAAATAAAACATGGAAAAATAAACATAACGTGTTGGACTGTATTACCAAAAGATCCTCATGCTTCATTCCAACTTTCCAAGATAATGGTAGCCAATGCCTTTCACAATCAACAGTAGTTTTGATTCGTACATACTTTTAATTTCTCTTATACTTTTTAGATGATATTTTCATATTAAAAAGAAGAAGACATCACTAACGATCTAGCTGTTACCTTTAATGATATAATTATCGTGCCGATAAGCTTGAATTCGGTGATTATTGAGGCAATTTGTCTTTGATTAGATTGGATATTTGTTAAATGAGTTGGCACATCGTATCATCGGTGTATATTCCACCCCTATTTGCTTTTAATTGTCCCTTAAGAGACTCAGGAGTTATCTCAAAGGGTTACATCAAACCACAGGCAATCACACTGTAAACGACGCCGTCTGCCCCTTTTTGAGATTGCTATCCATTTTCAAGCCCAATATGACCATAAGTTGGACCACCGTATTTAAGCCTTTACACAATAGTAGACTATTTTGTCAAGTACACTCTATAAATTTTCAAGACGTCACCAGATTTATAATTTTTTCAATCAAGCATCAAATTAAATTATAGTCTGCATTAGACGCTCATGCTTTCTTATGACACGTGAAATAGATTTTTAGACAAAAAGGTGAAAAGAGTAAGAAAATGTTGGGATTAATAAAGAAGAGTTGTGAGATAAAAAAAAAGGGAAAATAAAATTATAACATCATGAATAAAAAGGAAACATTGAAAAATTACTTTCATGTCTTCATCAATTCCACGTATTTTCATTTGAATACAAAAAAATAAATAAAACTAATTAATAAATATAATGTGACAGAGCAGGGAGAGATACACAGGAGATGAGGGAGCTACAGTTTTGTTTCAGCCGTACTATTTTGTGTTCTTCTGCTTCGGATTCTTTAAAGTTTTAGAATCTAATTGCTTCAATCATCCAAAAATATGAAAGACTTTGATCAGACCAAGATTTCATATAATATATGTTTGTGTGATTCTTTGCTAACTTATTTTTCTCTTTCTACTACATTGTTTTAAGGTTTTCGTGATGTCTAATCATAACAGAAAGTTCCTTGGTTTAAAGCCTCGTGGATTATGTAGCGAGGTTAGAAGATCCGTTTAAACAGCTATCAATAACGTACAGTCGACAATCATGTTGTCTAAATTATACTGATGCATCAATAAAGACATATATTGTCTATAGAAAAAGGTTGCAATTAATCCAATAGTTAATTTATAGCACAAACCTTAAAACCAATGTCCTTTCCTGTCTATAGGAGGACTGGTCAAATGTTTCAGATCCGACATCATCTTTTTTCAGCCATGAATAGCTTGTTTTAAGTTTTAACAGCGAAACTCGAATGGACTCATAGAAAATTAATGAAACAAACACTTAAAACTCTTACTCTAGAAGTATATATGAATTTTAAAAGTCTTCGTCACTATTGAGAAAATATTAAAACCCTAATTTAAATAAATCCCAAATGGAAATAAATATTAATTAATAAATCAAAACTCTTGAATTTTATTACGGAATCATGTTTTCACAATACATCACAAAAAAAAAACAAAATTCTCACTAGTTACGTTAATTAGATTCAAACACATGTAAACCTCTTTCAAAAAGAAAAACCTAATACCACATGTATTTAGCATTAATTGTAGCATTGAAGCAAAGCGGAATGTACACTTTACGTCCAGCTTTACTTTCCAGTTCCGTTAACAAGCAAATAAGTAAACTTCCCCACTTCCCTTAGATTTAAAACTAAAGTAAAAAGTCTGAGAATAGATTAGGGTATCTTTTGGCAGCACAGATTTATTAAAATTTTATATGGGAACTTTAATAATATCATCGTCACTGGGACTATCACTATCTCAGTAAGTTGGTTCAGAACTCAGATGATGAAAGTGGAGAGAGACAGAAGCTTTCGCATCTACAGTTAACGCCACGTTTCTCCATGTCTATTGCCTTTCTTTGGTATCAGAGTGTACTCTCTCACCTTTATTTTTTGAGTTGTGAATTGTGAGGAGAGTAAATGTTCACTCAGACTATATATATCATAAATATATTAAAATAGATTAGAAGAAACTGAAAGAGAGAAGTCGTGAAACCAAGGATGGTTTTGAGATCCTAGAAAGTAGAGCGAGTTCCAAGTGAAATAGTACATTCTTTGCTAATAATGAGTGACAGATTCCCACATCAACTTTTAAATTTATAACATTTCCTCACGTTATAATTAAAAATATATGTGTATCCATGTCCGATATTTTCGAACGTGTGGTTTCGGTTTTTCTGTGGATCACTTGGTAATACAGAATTCAAATGTAATGGTTCACTTGGTAGTGGTTCATTCGGTTTTCCTGTCTAGTATATGGTAAACACGTAAATATGATTCATTGACCGGTTTTTCTATCTAGAATATGGTTATTAAAAAGTTCAAAATTCTCTCGGAAAATATTACACAGCTAAAATAGTAAGAATATGCATAGTCTCATACTTTCATATAATTTTTTAAAAATTACGTTTGTATATTAGTATTATTTCTTACTTTTGCGACTGAAACCAATTAAGAAAATACTTATTTTTTGTTAACTTATCGAGCACCAAACTTTAGACTTTACATTTCTTGATCTAATATCATATATATAATAAATTTTTGAAACACCAAAATTGTTTCAGACCCAACACTTCATTACTTTTAAATACAACTGAAAAAAAATCTTGGTTTTATAACACTTCATTACTTTGTAAATTGTAACATCACCCAGGGCGTTCCATTCATTTATAATGATAGTCGTCTTATGAAAGCTGGTTTATGTTTGATAGAAAAAACTCATTCAATATATCAATTGTAGTTTTTCTAAAGGGAAAAAGTTTCTAAAGGGAAAAAACAGAACTCTAACTCTATCCTAGAAAATAATGTATTAACGAAGGGAACAACAAAAGATCACCAATATATATTTCATATCCAAACGTTAAAAGATGCATCCTATAAACATTACAGTTGAATCATGACTAATGAGTATATCTTATGTTTGGCACCAAACATGGGTCTGCAACTGACTCACACATCAATTTACGAGGAGAAGAAAAGCGAAAGTAAGTACAAAAATAAAAGAACCATTTATTAGTTACCAATTCGTCCAGCCTCCATTGTCTTTCTCCACCATTTCCTCAAACCCCATCTCTCTCTTTTATACTATTTCTTTTTCTCTCCTCAATGTATAACAATAACCAATATTGCATCTCCGGCGACGAAGACTCCGTCGTCCTCTGCCTTGGACCTCCTGGCCAACAATACCCTAACCATCAAAAACCCACCAGCACTAAAGCTTCTTCGAATCATGAAATTGATCGTGATCTCCCTTTAACTAACCCTAATGACGTCACCGTTGCTCTTCATATCGGACCTCCGGTTTCCGAAAAAGAAACCAGCGAGGACAACCAAGGGGGTTTGGCGAGGCAGGGACAGTATTGGATTCCTTCTCTTTCCCAGATACTTGTCGGTCCCACTCAGTTCTCTTGTTCTGTCTGTAACAAAACTTTCAACCGGTTCAATAACATGCAGGTTTGAATATAACTACATACTCGTATTACAAGATGGACTTATCCTTACGGGGAAATTTTCTTAATATAACTTAAAAAACTCTGATATGTGTGTTCATGGGTATCATGAGTTGAGGAAAATAATATCATATTATCTTCATAAATACAAGCTATAATAATCATATATGTGAATATATATATATATATATATATATATATATATATATATATATATATATATCATGTTATCCAAAATATTTATAATCGTCAAGAGGATTTAAAATAATTAACCAGAGTAAATGTTCATGATAGATGCAGTTAACGTGAAACAAGAGATAACCAAATTACTATTTTATTTAAGTTACATCTTTTGTTTTTTTTTTGTTGTTGCTGTAGATGCATATGTGGGGTCATGGTTCGCAATACCGAAAGGGTCCAGAGTCGCTGCGAGGGACGAAATCATCATCTTCGATACTAAGGCTGCCATGTTACTGTTGCGCAGAAGGTTGTAAGAATAACATAGACCATCCAAGAGCAAAGCCTCTCAAAGACTTTAGAACGCTCCAAACGCATTACAAGCGAAAGCACGGTGCAAAACCTTTTCGTTGCCGCAAAAAGTGCGAGAAGACGTTTGCGGTGAGAGGTGACTGGAGAACGCACGAGAAGAATTGTGGGAAGGTGTGGTTTTGCGTTTGCGGATCGGATTTTAAGCACAAGAGGTCTCTCAAGGATCACGTTAGGGCTTTTGGCGATGGTCATGCGGCTCACACTGTAGGTGATCGTGTTGTATCCATTGGAGAAGGAGATGAAGATGACGATGATGACGATTATATGGAGGAAGAAGATGAACGAGATGATGAAGAAGAAGAAGAAGATGGTAATGGAGAAAGTGGTGGTGGAGAGAAGAACTATGGGATTAGATATGAACAGTTTCGTCGTTATGGTCGAATCTCTAATGACAATTACTAATCAAGTGACCATTTTATGATCGATCGGTTTTATATAGGGTTTATTTAATTGAGGTGTATTTGATATTATATACCTCTTCATCACGTTAGTAGATGTGAAAGTACTTTTTAATTATGATTTCCCGAATTATATGTAATGGCTTTGAATTGTAAGTGCTCCTAACCTTGTCATAGCTCCATCAAACAATTTCTGCCTTTCAGTTATGAAAAAAATTACCCATACAAAGAGAAATGGCTTTACATCATTAATTAGTACTAGAGGTATGCAAAATATCAGTAAATTTTGATTCGATTTGTTATTTGTTTTGATTTGATTCGTTATTCGTTTTGATTTGAACAAAAAATCTGCATATCCATAAATCCACATTAAACAAATATTAATATGCAATACTGTAAGAAATGAGATAAATCACAAATACTAATATTTTTAAGAAGAGATATCTGATTTGATATGTTATATGCATATATATATATATATATATTTACAATATTTTATTTGTCAAATTTATAATATTAGTTATTAGAATTTTTTTAAAAAAGATTTTTTTGTAACAAAATATTATAATCGATACTATTTTAAGATTTTTATTTATTTATAAATTTTAATTTTATATGTACTGATCGAATAAGATATACGAGTGACTACGGATCGAATCAAATAAGATAACTGATTATTTGGACAAGTCATATCAAATCACGAATACCTCCAAAAATCTCGAACATCCTATATGTGCCACCTCTATGATTAGTACTCGTGTTGATTCAACCTACCAAGAAGCTAACTATATATTGAAAACATTTGAGATAGATATCATATACTAGCAAGAAGCTATCTATATCTTGGAACAAATGGTTATTATTTAAAGAGGAATTACTTGGAATGACCCAACACTACAAGAAAACTCGTCCATTACTAGGACGGGTTTTCCTCGTTAGTTCCTAGTAAATGGCCTTTTACTAGGAACTTACGAGGAAACGCGTTTCCTCGAAACACGTTCATCGTAAAGACATTTTCCTCGTAAGGTTGTAGCGAATTTACGAGGAAAGTTTTCCTCGTAAAGGCGTGGTAATATTTTCCTCGTAAG